CTTTCAGCTTTCAAGCTGTGATTGGATAATGGAATTGTAATGTTATCTGCTTTCTAGCTGTGATTGGTTGATAGGGAGGCCTTCCAGCAGTGATTGGTTAATGGAATTGTAATGTTATCTGCTTTCTAGCTGTGATTGGTTGATGGAAATGCTTTCAAGCTGTGATTGGTTGATGGGGATGCTTTCAAGCTGTGAGTGGTTGTGCCCATAAGCCCCGCCCACAAGTATGGTATATGTACTACAGTACTGGTTAACTAAATACTTAACTGAAACTTGATCATTACAATCAAAAGGCCTGGAAATTTTTTAAAAATCCATTAAATAAAAGACAAAAAATATCTATCAAACAAGAGACATAAAAATAATTCTATTACAAATTTAATGTACTATACAATTGAAACATTTTGTCCAATTTTGATCCTCCTTTTCATTTATACTATATATATACAATAATATAGTCAGTCTCCTGGCAGGCTGGCAGAGCACTGTATCCAAGGAAAGCTTTTCACCTTGGGTGGAAAGCTTTTTTATAAGTGAACTTACATTCTTAGAATTCCAGCCTGTTTGGGCCTAATTTGGCAGTGCCATAGAGCATAGTGGCAAAGCAGAGCGTTTTTAGACTCTCCCTCAAGTTCATTTTTGAGTCCTATAGGGTAAACGCGGTATATTCCATCACATTAAGGACACATCGAGAAATGAAAAACTATAAAAAAATAACCGTATGCGTTACTCAAGTTGAAAGACAAGTTCTGTTTGCTTTATGTGACTCTCAGTCTCCCAAAACACCGCACTACGTGTCAGCAACAACAAAACGTCACAAAATGTTGCCATATTTATTTAAAAGCCTTTAGAATGGAAACCTACCAAATCCCTGTATTCCATCACTGTGTGTGGCAATATTCAGCACGTGGTGAGGCGTATTCCGTCTGCTCTTCAAATTCTACTGATACGTAATGCCATCATCCATGTGTTCGAATTCCGTTCGCTGTGTGACACAGTGAGCTGTATTCATTAGTGTATTGGAATACAACACGGCTTTGAATTAGAACACTAATGAATATTGAACACTACTTAATTACGCTTTTAATTAAAAACTATTAAGCTTTTAATTAAGCAAATTTTAATTTTTGTACACAGCTTGGAACGATCTCTGTGTGTCCAATTCAAGTTGTGACGGAATTAGTTTTCATGTGTCTAAATCCATTTCTCAACTTGATCATCTATTAATTTATTTACCACTTGAAATCAGCAAATACAAGTATACTTAAAGGATTCCTAATATATTCACAGACGTATTTAAAAGTCTCAAACCATAATATTCTTCCTNGGTGCTTATTTTGCATCAAATCAACAAGTGGTCTGATTTTGTGCAGCTTATCCTGCTTAGCAAGGGCTCCACTGTTATCGTTGAAGTGAACAAACCTGAGTAACGCCTGGAACCTTTCTCTAGTCATTACTTTCGGTACAAATTGATCAGTATACAGAACACTCTTTGACCAATACAACGCTATCTCAGGCTTTGGGACCAGTCCCATGTATATCAATGTTCCAAAGAGTTGCTTCAGTTCAACAGCATTTGTATCCTTCCAGTTGTTCAGAGTAGATCTGCGAGTTATTGTTGTATTGGCAATACATTGTGATGCAAATTTATTTGTTTCAGAAACAATGTGCTCTATGACCTCATCATCAACCAGTAAGTTGAAAATATCAATTGGAAGCGGGCTTCCTTCGGTGGGAGGCTGTACTTTCATTGCTTCTTTGCCAGTGAAAGGAAATGACCTATTTGAAGTGCATACAGCTGTCCACTCAGATTGCACAGTAGGGGGTTCCAAGTTTCCGTGATCTTCACAGCTTTCATCGTCTAACACGTCATCAACACTTTCATGATCAGAGGACGCATTCGAAGAAGAACTACTATCGTTATATGTTTCTCCAGGTAGAAATTCACTGCCGGATGTGTCTTCACTTTCATCCTCATTTTCGTTGACTGAAGCTGAAGGCCTCTTCCTCCCGTAGAAGTTAGAACTATCCATACCCTAGATAGAAGAATAATAATTTATTATTCATACTATTATTCTATTATGTAAACAGTATTACCATATAACATGCATTGTATAATACCAGTGAGAAATAACCGCTAAAGTTCAGTAAACAAGTGAGCCAAATAGATACCAATACGTAGCACAACAATATTCTAGAGCTGCACTGACGTGTTGGTACACTATGATACCACGCAGTCGTGGTAGATATGTGGCCCAATACGTCCATCAACAATGATGGCTTTGCTGAGGACGAGTTGCACCGTATTTGTACCACGTTTTTAAATGTATCTATATGTTCATCGTTACATACGTAGAGCTACTCACCTCCTCTTGCTGCAGTAGCTATCGCCTGACTATTGTTATTAGCGACATTTGGCAACGTCTGTGAGGCAAAACTGCCAAATTGGCTAATGTAGTCAACGTGTTAACTATGATGATCGCTCTTAGCTATAATGATCATTCTTAACTATGTTGATCATTCATAACTATGATGATCATTCATAACTATGATGATTGTTCTTAACTATGATGATTGTTCTTAACTATAATGATCATTCTTAACTATGATGATTGTTCTTAACTATGATGATCATTCTGAACTACTTAACTATGATGATCGTTCTTAACTATGATGATTGTTCTTAACTATGATGATCATTCTGAACTACTTAACTATGATGATCGTTTTCAATTATGATAATCATTCTTGACTATGACAATCGTACAGAATTCTTTATTCAACATTGCTTGTTTTTGTTCTAAGTTTTTCTTATTCTTGAAAGCGTTGACTTGATATTGGCATACGACATGAAAAGCCAACATGTTTGAGCTTACAAGCATTTTGAGGATTTGGAAGGATACGGTGAAGGATATGGTAACGTGTGAAGGATACAGCAACCTCAATTTAATCTTCTGAATCTCAGCCTGATGACTGAATGCTGATCAAGGAGACAATATAAAAGGATATGCAGTGAACATTAAATTGAATCATCCCAAACACTGGGCTTGGCAGTTTCATTTCTTGCTTACCTACTCCAAGACAAAATAGTTTAATCTCTATTTCAAAGATATAAGATATTTTATCTTCTACTTAATACTAACTAAATAGTTTGCTATCTATTCAATAATAATTTAATGGTTTACCTTTTCTCTGCTACTAATAAAATTTAGATTTGATTCACTCAGGATTTGAAGACTTTTCACAATTTCACCTCATATGTAATGTTGAGCCTTGATTTATGGTGCAAAGTAGATCAATAGCAGAAGCTCTTGTAGACATTTGGCCATTAAAGTAAACTGTCTTCATTTAGTGGTAGAAGCGATAGTTTCTATATATTTTGCACTATGATGCATTGCATTGAGATTTTTTAAAGAACTATTTGATTCAAGTGGATTCATTGTTGAAAATAATTTAAAATCTAACTTACTGTTTACTATAGGTTTTCCAGTTTGTTGGATGAGACTGTACAACTGCAACACAATCTGCAAATTGCAGACTTGGTTGTGATGTGGAAGCCATATTGACTGCTGTGGTTCCTGGGGACTCCTGGAGTGTGGGATATACTCATTGAACTTTTAGCAGCTTCATTATTAAAAATGACTTGGCAACGCATCCTGAAGACTTATGGCGATAGCGACAACTATTGAATAATGCTGGTGATGTTTCGGGCTGAAAGTCCATATCTTGGCAATGCTGCTTGCAAACTTTGCACCCTGGTAGGATTGGGTAAAAGTGGCCAGAATCATTGGCATTTTTTCCGATTCATTGGTTGCTTCTGCCCAGTTTTCCAGTTAAGATCTTACCCTGAACCTAGTGGAAAAATTGGGCAGAAGCCGCCCATAATGTAAATGAGACAAAAATACCCATTCTTGCATTCAATTTTACCCCTTTTTACAGCCTTTGCCTAATTTCTCTCATAAAAAATGTAAGAGCCACATCTTTTGGTAATTTTTGAAAATCATATTTGAAATGACAGTTTCCCTATCTAATTCTTAAAAAATTCTTCACAATATTCTAAATTCGACCCATGGCAGCTAGCAAATATAAAGGCTTAACTCTGAATATTCGTTTCATAGTCATCATTTCCCTAATCCAGATATTTTTTAATTTCAGAGTTTTACCTGGTACATACTATAGATTAAAAATGGCAGACCTGGCTTTAAAAACAGTCACATTTGCTGACAATAATTCTGATACTGTCCGGTCACTAAAGAGAAGTAATAATAGTGATAAAAGTATAAAAACGAAGACACAGCGTCTCAATGGTTATGATAGGTAAGTTTTTGGTGATATGCTACTACTCATGAATGAAGCAAAAAAAAAAAAAACTTTACACTTGCAAACAATTTGACTCATTTTCAAATTTCGATGTTCTTATTCAGGCATGGAATATAGGTACAGTATATACCTACCAAGCTATAACTGGAGCTTTCCAATAATTTTTTTCTGTTTTTCAGCTATGAGATTCCTGCTGGATGAATTACTTTCCATCTAATTTGTGCATGATTGGCTTGCAGGATTTCTAATTTAATGAAAAAAATCACTTTGGCATAGCAAGATTTCAGTTTTAAGTAAGAAAATTATAGTCTTGCATTTGCTTATGTTATATTACAAATGAAAAAAAAACTGTACTCCTTTGCATTCAATTTCATAAATGAGCTGATTGTTGCTTGCCATAAAGCTTCAGCAAAATGGTATTTTAGCAGACAAATAATTTGCAGTGTTGCTAATATGGTTAGCAAATTGGCACCTAGTTTCAGACTACAATTATCATCACAGCTAACAAGAAGTATATAAAGAGGTATTTTGAATCACCAGACACTGTCTATTACATCTGTCAGATACTTCTGTGGCCCAATTTTCCGAATTGAAATGGCCTCTCCATGATGGCTGAATAGGATTTATGAAATTTTTCAGACAAATTCCCACTCGAAATATCCATGTGTATCCTTTCTAAATAACGTTAAGGGGGGGGGGGTTCCCTCCAGAAATACCTCCACATTTACTAACGGATCTTTCTGAAACTTCACACATATTTGTAAAACCAAAATACAAGCACATTTTGTTGGTATGATTTTTTCGTATGAATTCAAAGAAAACGTGAAATTCATAGAAAACGGAAAAAGGAGGTACTTTAAAAATCTATCTCCTACAGTTTTCAAGCTACATCATCGAAAGAATACCATTCGATTCGTAAAGACCATACCAATCGAGTAACACAGCCCGATTTTTGATTTTTGTCTGAGCTTTTTTTATACGCATTTTCCCGTTTTCTTCTCATTTTCTTTTGATTTTCCCCCTACCCCCCATTTTCAATCCAAACTATGCACAAATCTAAAAAAAGGGCTTTGTTGCTTGATAGGCATGGTCTTTACAAATCGAATGGCATATCTTTCAATGCTGTTGCTTGACTGTAGGAAGATATAGGTTTGCAGTGACAATAAGTTAACTTTTCAGTAGAGCCCGACAAAGTCCCGCGCGCTTCGGAATAGTCACTCAATGTAGCAAGGATACAAGACTAAACGTTACTGGAGCTCGATTCCAGTCAAGGATGGTGGGAACGACTGCATGCACACCACCCCCATACGACGCCAGGCGGGTAACTGAAGTGCAGCTCAAGCAGACACTCTATTTAAGAGCTCGGCAGCTAATTTACCCCTATCTTCAATGTTAAAGAACTCCACCACCCCTAACCCTTTAGCGACCCCTAACCCTTTAGCGATATGTTGTGAACGCATAAATCAATGTACAGTGGTGGTTATGGTACCGTTGGATAGGTCAGAATGTCAGCTTTAAGATGAGACTTCTAACCGGAAAAGGCAAAATCAAAAATTTTAGGCGATACCCCCCCCTTAAACAAGCGTTTAATAACAATTCAGGAAACTGCGCAATTGTGACGATTTCCTGGAGGCGTAGCACAAAATTTAGGCAGAGATAATCTAAAACTAGCTTTAGTATTATTAGGAATATCTTACCAGGACTCCACTCCACTGGCTACTAATTGGCTGACTAATCTAGACCCTGCGTCCCAATGCGATCCGTGGCGCCTGAACTCGTTCCGAACACGTAATGAACTCGACTCGTACTCGTACAGATCCCATAAAGTGCCATGGAAGCCTTAGTTAAGACTTAATGGTCACAGTTTTACTCTATACGCAGCCATACATCGACAGTTTTGCGGTGTTTATCGGACCACTAACTAACTGCCATGTCAGTTAGTCAGACAAATTTTGCTAAATCTGCAATTAACTCAATTTAACTGGTAACTGTCTATAGCCCTATTAGCAATAAATGGCTTACCTGTCATTCTTCAACCCATGTTTTTGAAACAATTCGTATCGTAATCGAAAAACTTGATTTGTCCTTAATAATTAAGACAAATCTCGTCTCGTCTCGTTATGTCTCATTTCAAATCTGTCTGTCTTGTCCCGGTTCATAAATGACCGGGACACAAGTTTTAAAGTCCGGGACAGAAGTCTTGTCTCGGTTCATACGTTTATTCCGGGACAAATTTCACCCTTTGTCCCGTTATTTTTTTCCCGGAATTTTCTCGTCTCGTTACGTCTGTCCCGGTTCATTTCGAGAAAATTATTTCGAGACGCAGGAGTCTAGTATACCTATACCAGTACAATGTTTGTTTAAAATATGTTGAGCCATTCTCCAGCTAATTTCCACTTGTGAATGAAGTCAAAATTAACAGATTCTGACTCATGTTCATGTACAAAGATTAAATTCATGTGTAGGTATAAGATGTCAATGAATATTTTCAGTTTGTGGCAAGGAAAATTTGTTTCTTGGTTTGGAAAACTAATTCACACAGCTCAAAAATGAACTTAGTTGACAAAATTATTTCACAGCTGCTAAATTGGCTAACACACAGCTCCAGAAGTCAATTCATGGCGCAGAAATTTAAATTATCTAGTCTGGCAATTAGGTATAGAAAAATCTGCTTTCCGTGCCACAACTAGATTTTTGGAGTTGTAAATTTATTGACTTTGCTGCAAAAAATATTTTCAAGTCGTGAATTTATTCATGCCATGCCTTTCATTCAGACCGCTAAAAAAAGTCTTTTCAGGTTGAGATCTTGGCATCTTTTTGATATTATCATGGGCCAGCTGGCCTTGTATACTTGAAGAATTAAAGTTAAAATAACAATTAATTGATGACAAATCGATCAATACTGTTCAATTTGTTGCAAATTTGTATGTAAAAACTGTCATTATTGATTAGTATCCAATGTCTGCACTGCAAGTCATCTGCAAATTTCTAGCAATTATTGAGTCACAGTGATCAGTAATCACGCTCTGCAGAAAGGTGTAACTGGCTGTTGCAGTCTGTATTGGCTGGGCCAGCATTATAAAATGTTTTTTTTTTAACAATTTAACCAGCATAACCTAGTTGCATCCAAAAAGCATCATTATTATTACTTTTTATTTGACTAACACATAATTATGTGTGAGTGATGATCAATAACATTAGTTGATAACCAAGTTGAGTGCAATGGCTGTTCAGTGACAATCATCATTGATGTTAGAGCGTTTTAATAATGGTAGTACACATTAAATTCCAAAACAAAATAACTATCAAGTTTCTATTCAATTGTCATTTGTACGTATTTTATTTGCTTAATCTCTTTGAGGAGAGCATATTTAACTGTACTTAGATAGTTACATAACGGTAATGCAATAGACTATTCTTCTATGTACCATACCTCTTTCATGTTAAGTACAATTGCATTGCAGGTATTATAAAAAATATTTCTGCAAAGAATGATTTATAAATAATAAGTTGATATGAATCACAAGTGTAATTTTTTGTTCTTTTACAGCAAAGTACAATCTGAAACTTCTGAACAACAGACCCGAGTTTTGACGCAGTTCAGTTCTGAGGCTGGGGAGCCAGCTGGTCCACCTATAGAGCTACCTTTGAACTTGCCAAAACAAAAGCTTCAGCTAATCCTGAACAGTCTTCTTAAACAGGTATATTTAAGTTTTCTAACATATGATGCTGATTCTAGATTTAAATTGTTCACATTTTTAGTTTTGAAATATTAATCTTATTTAAAAAAGTATCCTTAAAGTAGGAATTTAATGATTTACAATGTCAGACATCTGCATGGCTAATTAAGGACCTGCATGGCTATTAAGGACCTGGCAGAAATATGCAAAACTGATCAAAAATTAACCTAGAATAATTGATGATCTGTTTCAAATTTCAGTTTACTGTTGATGGTAATATGGAATATATATACTGCAGTACATTCTTTATCCTTTGCTGAGTAGCTCTGCAGGTACCATGATGAATTGGTAAGAGCATTTTAAATGTCAAAGAATAATTTGTTTTGTGAAATTGTTGTAATGAAGAAATTGTTTTCTATGTAGAAATTGTTTTAATTCACCTTCTTTATTGTTATTACATCAACAGTGTAATATTGGGACTTGTTCATTTTTTTCATCTACTGTGCTTGTTGTTGTGTTGCAGACAGATGACGTGCCCTACAGCTTCTTTGTAGAAGAGAAGGAAATTACCAGTAATCTCAAAAGTGTCTTACCTGAAAATTATTCAGAGGAAAAAATTCTTAACATTGTTTATCAAGCTCAAGCAGTTTTCAAGGTTCAGTCTGTCACCAGGTATGAAATGCATTTGGACATCTTGCAGTATAAACTGAAAATTTTGTGATTATGTGGAAAATGTTTAGTGAAAGCATTGTAAACATCTGTCCAGATTATATGTATCACTTTTTGTTGTTGAATCTTTCTAAAGATACTAGTTTTTGCCGAGTTAGTAAGTTATTTAGGTTCAATTTTTTTCCTATTCCTCTAAAATTTTACAGAAATTGATATTTTTAGTGTCTGACAATAGTTTATTAAAGCTTAATATGTTTTACTTTGTTTTATGAAGCCACCTACTTTAAAAAAGTACAATTTATGATAATGCTTGATAGGTATTTAGCATAGTGATTATTTAGCACTTTCCATCAGATGTACATCATCACTGCCTGGTCATGCTGAGGCAGTGTTGTGCGCTTCATTCAGCCCTGATGGCAGGTTCCTAGCATCGGGCTCAGGTGACACCACTGTGCGATTCTGGGACGTCAATACAGAGACTCCTCACTTCACTGCCAGAGGTCAGTACAGCTCATATGTCACATGGCACATTTCTGTTGCTGTTTACTGCAGAGGTTGCATGCCTCACTCATTGCATGAAACTTTTCTGTTACTGTTTACTAACAGAGGTCACTTTTTCAATCTGGAGTATAGAATTCAGGTAGTCTAGATAGACTTGATGAAGCAATAAGGCTGTCAATTGATCAGATGCATTATTGTACAGCAGTGGGTCCAGGTCTTGGATATGGCTCTTGTTGAGCAAATTTGAGCATACAATAATGCATGGAAAAATATTTATTAAATGCTCCAGAAGGCTAAAATTATTTATGTATCTCCGATATAACTTATAGTGACTTATTCAAGCAATTTTACTGTTGAAGTTTTCTGTTTGATAAACTTTTTTTTGATCACATTGCCGAATGACTGCTTGAAACTTTCACCATGTTTTGTGTGTAGGGGCGGGCTCAGTCTATTTTTGCTGATTTCATTAGTGAACATGGTTTCATTAGTGAACATTAGTTTTATTTTCTGAATTTAATTAATTTGCTTTCATTTCTTTGGAAGACGCTAAGAATGATGTCTTGCATACTATCTTGTTGCTGTAGACAAACGTGCCCATTGAACAAAGGTTATATTTTTTGTCTGAAAAAGTTACTTGCCATCAATCAGGCCACAGCCACTGGGTGCTGGTGACAGCATGGAGTCCTGATGGCACGCGCTTGGCGTCTGGCTGCAAGAAGGGCAACATCATCATCTGGGACCCCAAAACCGGCAAACAGGTGCGAGATTTAAATCAAGCTTACGAAAGTTCTCACTGTTGTACCTAATTTAAAATTTGTTATGTTTCGGTGCATTACAAACATTTATTTAATTTTATTTCTAAACTATTTTGAACTCGTATAGATTTTTGAGATGGTTGCTTTCGTGAGCTGTGGCAATAAAAAATTGAAATTCATTAATGTAAAGCTGGCTGTTTGTACCTGGTATGATTTCAATTGCACTGATTTAGATGGAAATTATTTGAGGCTGGTGCATTAGTCGTGTACCGTATTAATATTTGAGCTTTTTTCAGGTGGGGAAGACCTTCACTTTGCACACGAAGTGGATCACGGTACTGTGCTGGGAGCCTCTGCATCTCACTGATGACGGCCGCTGCACCAAACTTGCTTCCGCCAGCAAAGACGGTTCCATCAGGATTTGGAATATTGCTAGCGCCACATGCCACAAGGTTATCCTCCGTAATGCTAGCGCCACATGCCACAAGGTTATCCTCAGTAATGATAGTCATATGCCACTAGGTTATCCTCAGTACTGCTAGCGCCACATGCAACAAGGTTATCGTCAGTAATGCTAGTGCCACTTGCCATAAGGTTATCCTCAGTAATGCTAGCGCCACATGCCACAAGGTTATCCTAGGTACAGTACCTGCTAGCGCCTCATGCCACAAGGTTAGCCTCAGAACTTGCCGCACTTGCAATAAGATTGGCCCCAGTTAGGTGTAACGATGTGTTAGGTATTATTGGTAACAAAGTACGGTATCGCTTCTGCCATTCTCTGTTAGTGCATTATATTTATCTAGCAGCTTGTTCTGCTTGATTTATTTTTGGAATCTAAAATTGACAATTTTCCCGTACAAATTTGACTACACTCATATCACCGACATTTTTTGTCTGCTTTTTCAGTTTTTGGGCCATTTTGTTTATATACCTTATCTTTAATGGATTTATATGTTGTTCATTATATTAATGTATTTGTCATGGAGGAAGTTCATAATAATTCATACCTTTGTATTGCAGAGCTTGTCCGGACATTTACAGAGCGTGACTGCCTTGCGTTGGAGTGGGGAGGGCCTCATCTATTCAGGCTCCCAGGACCGAACAATTAAAGTCTGGCGACCTAGCGACGTAAGTGCGAGCTAACGGGTGTCTGTTATGTGCTGCTGTGGGACATTATGTGCTGCTCTTTGCTCGTCGCGGTGTTGTAATGTTCAGAATAATGTACTGCCAATTAAATTATTTTCCCCCGTTTTTTTTTGCACAAGAAAGCCGCTCAATTGTCAATATTATTTATTTGATACCTTCTTGAATAGATGGCTAACTTAGCACTTTGAGCCCAATCAATGTGATTCATGATTGATTAAATTGAAATTATGTGCATGCAGGGCGCTCTGTGCCGCACCCTGCAGGGGCATGGACACTGGGTCAACTCACTGGCCCTCAACACCGACTATGCCATCCGCACCGGTGCCTCTGACCCCAAGAAGCTCATGCAGACTGTCCCAGAGCACATAAACAACGGTAAGCCAATCGAATTCTTTGTTATGATAAGAATTTGAATAATAGCAAGCTAATTTGACATTTAATATATCAGTTTTTGGAATACTCCTACTACTGATCTGGGGCTGAACATGATGCTGTCATCGTATTTTCTGTCTGGTCTAAGCTTTTTCGCAAGGTCTATTTACCTGAACAGTTTCACCTGCAAGTCAGTATCATTTACTTTCATGTATATGCATTCTAATCTTCATATACTCTTTTTTATAGTATATCTTATTACGCGTTTATTTCAAACTCTCGATGATGTTTAACATTGACGATGTTGCTGCAACAATTACATTCAAGAGCTGGAGCGCAAGGCTGCAGCAATGGAGCGTTACACCGCAGCTAAGGAGCAGGCTGGAGGCGTCGAGCGCATGGTGTCAGGTTCTGATGACTTCACATTGTTTCTCTGGACGCCAGAGTCGAACAAGAAACCCGTGTGTGAGTATAAACTGTCAGAAATCGATCATAATAAAAGATTCCGTAATTAGAGTTATGTTTGGAGAAAGCCATTGCACAAAATGGTTGTAAATGAAATTCGTCTTTTTTTTGTGGCTGTGATATATACTACAATTTATTGCTGTTTTGACTAGACATTGATTATTTGAATTCTAGAGTTTTAAGGATATGTGGGTTGATTTCATAAGTTTACCTATTATGAACGAGAGCTTCAACATAAAAAGAAGTTGATTAACTTGAAAAATAAAATCTGGCTTAATGATTGTGCATCAGGCCGCATGACGGGTCACCAGCAACTGGTGAACGACGTCAAGTTCTCCCCTGACACGCGCACCATCGCGTCTGCTTCTTTTGATAAAAGCATCAAGTTGTGGAATGGCATCAACGGCAAGTAAGTCAAGTTGCTAACCTTTGCATTTTAAATTCGGTGACCTTATTTATTTATTTGTTTGTTGTATCAGGCACCCATGCCTGCTAAAATAGTTTATCAGATTTCTTTATAAATGTTGTCAAGAGAAGATTAAGGAGTCTCGTTAAGAATTCACCGCCACTTCCCTTTTATGATCTAATGCAGAATTATTGGAAATCCCAAGTCATTCATTTAATTCGTGGGGTTTATTCAGTACTTCGAGTAACTGTTGTCAATACACTCCTTGATAAAATTAAGATTTATTGTGCATCATGACCAAACTCGTTTTATTAAACTTCGCGTCTGTGTGTAGGATATTCGCGACGCTGCGAGGTCACGTGTCTGGCGTGTATCAGATTGCCTGGTCTGCTGATTCACGTCTCCTTGTCTCCGGCAGTAAGGACTCCACCCTCAAGGGTAGGTGCATCATCCTCTGTGCTCGTGTTTGTTAACAACGGGTCTGAAAGTAACGTTGATATAAATTAACGAAATGTTCTTGTGCAATCTTTAAAATAATTCAAATAGCAGCGTATTTATTAATGTGGTATTAAGACGTACACATATTACAGTTTGGAGTGTGGCAGACCGAGGACTGCTCATAGACTTGCCAGGCCACGCGGACGAGGTCTACACCGTGGACTGGTCCCCCGACGGCCACAGAGTCGTCAGCGGCGGCAAGGACAAAGTCCTCAAAGTGTGAGTTGTAAAGTATTGATTAATTAGCGAATATACATCATTATTGAAGCTTAAAAGTCCAGTTCTTTGTGTTGAATTTATAGATCGAAAATATAAGGTTATTACTAATGTTTTCTGCAACGAATAGTTAAATTAATTCGGGAATTAAAGATATGGTTTTTTTGTTTCTATATCCGTGCATGTATTGAAATATCCTTATGCTTCTATATTTGAAAGATTTAAATAGCTTACTGTATGAAGCCTCATCTAATTAAGAATTAATGCAAGATATGATCAATTCGTTTTTACCCTGGAAAATCAATTGAAAGATTTTATTTCGACTGTTGCAAAGAGCGAATATTTTTATTCTTTTTTCATTTGAGTGTTAAATTGCGGAGATTGAATGTTAAATTACATTTGAATATTAAGCTTAAAAATTCTGCTTGATATTTGAGAATTAATTTGTTACGGTGCGATTAAACTCACGAAAACAAGTGAACATAAATCCTTGGTTATTATTTTCATTGCCCTGTAACTTGATGAAGACATTTTCAAACGTGTATTGATCGATTTTGTTCTTGCAGGTGGCGGAAATAAAGCAAACCCTCTCTGGACTGGCAATTTCCTTATCCTTGTTGTTAAGAAGCACATGAGCTAAATCTTCTCTGTGAAAGTCTGGTAAATCAAAATTAGTAGGAGGAGGAGAAGGGGGTAATGGGATATGAAGATGTGTTTGTTTAAACGCTTTATTTTGAAACTTTCAACCATAAATGTGTACTAAATCAATCGTCGAGAAGAACAGTAATGCTACTAGAAAAATGCCGCATTACCATGGAGCATGCCTGACAATTGTCATATGCGCACGATCAATCTTGCATCTTCGTTAACTTATCGTGAAACGTAACCTCGCGTACCGTCATTTTCACAGTACAACAAATAGCCTAGCATTGATGCAGCAAATGTGAACATGGGACGACAGGCAAATCAATGAACGCGTGTGGTCTAGCATCTCGCAATTTCACAGCAATCTAAAGCTGCTTAGTCAGCCTTTATCTTCAGGGTTTAATCCATTTTCCTTACATCGATACATTCCGTATAAATCTGATATTGGAAATAGCCATCAAATATACACACAATTCAGGATGACAAAAACTCTGTGCTCAATTTCTGAAATAGGCTTCCTTCATGCTAGTTATATTTCCTCGTAAGCCAATGCTGATGTAATTTTATTCAAATGGAAGCCATGTTGTATTCTAACAAGAATGAGATTTTGGTCTAGAACGTGATTTTATATTTTACAGAATAATGGTGTGCAAATGAGAAAGAACAACGAAGTTCTAATGGATGAGTTCAGAGCGGCAGGGCCAAGAAGACGTACACAGAACAGCAGCCAGAATGCTGGACAAAGGATAATCTAATACTGTTTTAACTTGAACTTCTATCCAGACGTAACTGTGTCAACCTCCCTTACCAAGCAAGGTCTTGGAATGCGGTAAATGAAGAAGCACCACCGTTTCACTAAGCAGTGCTGAACCCGCATTTACTTATTCAAGATTCAGGTGCTTTACAATTCAAATGCGTACCGTGAACATCGTTTAAATTAAGGTATCCTTAGTATTCGATGACAATCATACCTGCATGCCATTGAGACGGCGTCACAAGCATTCATCCGTAATACAATACACATCCCAGGCTGCGCTGCTCACAGCGTCCACAGCTTCTTTACTGGCCTTTAAAATCGATCAGCTGCTATGCGACTGACCACGCAAGTTTCACGTAACTCTTTACTGATTAACAAACAAGGTGCCATTCGTGCCCATTGTGCGTGGCAAACGAGCTTACAATTCCTCTACATACGAAAATAGTAAAACGTGCATGAAATTCGGGCTAGAGAATGAAAATAAATTAATGGTCGTCTGAGAGCCAGTTTCTTTGAAATCAACACACGAGTAAATACTTTGAAATGCAGTAAAATATGACGAAATACAGGATGACTAAGTAACACGCAAAGAAAAGGAGTTAACTGATCGTTCATGAACAACCTTGTCCCCTTTATCTACACCATTTATCAAAGCCACTCAAAAACACACACTGAATAAAAATTCATTTTTAGATATTAATATGAGGACTTCACGACTGTCAAGATTACAGGAGGAATGCTTACATCAAGAAATGCCCGATGAATTCGCAGTTTTGTCCACCAAGCTACTGACAACTGCTTAGTATGTTGGTTTCTAACTTTGAACAGGTGATAAGTGCCCAAACCGTAATTACATGAGGTGTGGTTAGGTCGAGAAGTAGGCAATTAATACGACGAGTCAGTCACTTGACAAGCTCAAAGTACCAAGAAAAGTAACATTAAATGTTAAATTAATAAAAATCTATTAAACATATATTCAAGGATAACAAAAAAGTTTGCAAATAAAATTATACAGGTTTAAACAGCAGCACAGTCGCAGTATTTCAACGTAGTATGTAGCATTATTTGGAGTGTCAAACGAAGCGGTTCTCGTTCTGTTTACCTATCGAGAAGAGGCGCGCAAATGAAAGGTGGGCGGAAATCAACCCGATCGAAATCCACAAGAGGGATTAAGGTTAGCATGAAGTATTTTGGATAAAATCTAAACTTTTCATAAAAAAAGTGTCAACAGTCAATGTCACGAACATAACAAAATCGTACAAATGAAAACTAGGGAAAAAGGAAGAGTATGACTAATTCTCCAGTAGCCTTGGGCACAGGAAAACAAAATACATTTAAATTTCTGGTTTTCCAACTAAAATGTAAAGCGGATTTTCAGATAAATTTACTCAAAAATGTTTAATTTTGAGAAACATAGCAATTGATTTATCTTACAGTTACTATGGTGAACAATAATATTTCATTACAAAATAACCATCGGTATAAAGGAAGAGTACTATCTAGCAGTACGTATCGATATTGAATATTACTAAAATCCCACCACTTCATAGTAAAATATTGCAATCTATGTGAAAAGAAAAAGTGGAAACACGTCAATTTCGTTACCTGGACAGCAAAAAATATCATGAGACCTTCCGATTTCGTGAGGTGATGCATTGTATGGTGAGACTAACAGATGATTGGAGCTAGCAAAAGCGCCCAAACGTTGTCTCGAACATGACGCGAGGAAATTTAAGTTGCCACAATGATCACTTGCACGCAAAAGAGTGAAAGTTATCCGCACCTCGGGAGCAAATATCCACAAAATGTGAAAAACAAATGATTTTTCAAGTTGATTTTGGAGAATCAACTCCACATGACGTGAAGAAATTTTCTAAAGCGTTAACAAAAAGTAACACGCGACGTGCTGAGAACAATCTGTTTATTACTTTTTCGCCGATAAGGCAGCCCCAAGAAAACCGTCTCAATTTTTTTCGATTATAAGTTTCAATGCAGCCAAGAAATGAAGACAAGCAAATTCCAACAACTCTTCGTGAGTCCAAATACGAAAGGAGCATATTCGACTGACAACTGGACAACGAACCTCAACTGTTCATTGAGAGGAAACAAACGAGACATTTTCACCGACGATCTTCCAGCAACAAAATCCTGCATTCGGAATCCAACCTACACATTTCAATCGCAACCTACTTTCAGTCATATTTAAAAAAAGTAGTATTAAGTCTGATCAATTGTGATCAAGTATTAAGAGCATTAAGCATTGCACTTCCATTTACATTAGGATCGGGAGCACTGAATTCACACACTCGAGATCCAACAGAGGAATTCGAGGTTGCATTACCATGCCACAAAACCAATGATGTTGCGATCTCTAAATTCACACCGTTTTAAGTAGTTCTCATTGAGCTTCACTTTGCCGCTAAGCCAATACTCTCTGGAAATTTGACAGTAATGCACATAGTTTCAAATCGTTTATATTATTAACCTACTTCGTCTACGAGAAAAGACCCTTATAGTTCGAGAGTCATAATAATACTGGACCGATTCACGCCCTCTTCTGTAAAAGTCTCGACAGATAAATTCTTGCCTTTTTCTGTAGGCATAAGAAAAAATGTCTTCTACTTCATAAATCGTTAGTACTAGTAACTCACAGAACTATTCTTCCATGTAGGTACGAATGCCTTCAAATTTGACAACGCACTAACACAGATCCTACGACAGTGGGCCAACTTGATGTTCCCGACGTCACTGTTAAGATAAGAAGCTGTAGCGATGCTGTGCAACAGTAACACTTATTTCCCAAATAAAATATCACAGAGTTTCTATTGATACATTAACTCACATTTTTTCTTCTTAGTATTTTTCATTCAAGAAATTTTTGTAGCTACAAAGTAATTTCACAAGGCTTGGCACTTGAATGAAATAAATTGTGAATCTTCCGAACCACCAACAACCGAAATCCTTGGAATGCTTTCACGCTGAATGCAGAACACTATGAGAGGCACAAGTGCGTGTAAATATGATGCAAAAAACATCAGTCTTGAGAGAGGGCGAAGTGACTAGCTCCAGGTGGGATCATATCCTTTCCAGTTGTTATTGGGCGCGAGGAAGAAACGGCGGTTCAGGTACATGAAGGTCACGACTCCTCTGTAACCCGTCCTAGGTACTCCAGCCTGATGACAGAGAGCGCATCAACAAAGGGCAAAGGTAAAATTTAATCAATATCTATTCTCACAGAAATATTTGTCAATACATATGAACGAAGAGAGCCCAGGTAATTACAACCAGGGTTAGGTTCTTCTCCTCATAAGATCAATCACATCAAAGACTAAGTTAGAAGCTTCTCATCAAACATGGACTAGCTCATTTGGAAGTGATTCGCTTGCATGCCTGTAAATACAGTAAAAATTATCAGCCTTTGTGTACAGATCTAATACTGCTCTATTGTCACCAGAACCGCCAGTAGACCGTTCAGACTAGCTAATATTGCTCGTGATTTGACGCAGACTCAGAGCGCAATAAAAAGGACTTGGCAGTACAATTCAGGACATAAGTATTATAAAAAAATAAACGCTGTACTCACTTTAAAGTCATCCATGAGTCCAAGGGCTTTGGTAGTCTTCTTGAAGACGTCCTTGGTGTGGTAGAGGAGTCTGTACTCGCCAGCCTCGGGCAGCTGCCCCGACTTGGCCTGAGCAAGCGACACCACCTCGGCCGCCTGCACACGCCGCTCAAATGCAGCGTCGTACTCGCTCTGCCCGCAGTCAAGTTTCCCTTACAAATTACCCAATATTTCGTAGATAGCAGAGAGTAAGTGAACTACTTGCAGTGTTAATGTACAAGGTTTATTGACAGGAATGGAGAAACCAGAAGGTTATATAAACATCGGTGATATTTTAAGTTGATAAAAACAAACTGAGTGAACCAGTCTTTACTCGCATCTAACACCCAGCCTCAATGCTTCTTTTTATCAATCATAGCACATGACTTTAAAGCAAAATGACAAAGTAAATAGCGTAATGATAACCTTTGCCATAAGCTGCATAGCTCATTTCGCGAGGCAACTTTAACACGTTGACTACGTATTGGTACATATGCGTACCACGAAATGTATTTCTCCAGGAGGTAGTGGTACATAATTCAGGTTGCCTAAAATCGGCCAAATCCGAGAAGAAAAAAGGCCGATAATTCAATGTAGGTATACTACGTAGTTTATTTATAGTTTCCGCTATAAAATTCCATTTATTTCTTTTTGCAGTATTTAAAATTTAATTAGGAAGTACCCCTATCATAAATTTTAGCCGGCCAACACAATTGAGAAAAACTAAATCACGGAATTTGTCCGGAAAAAAATGACCGCCTGGCAACCCTGCTTAAAAAAGTACAAAAAAATGAAATAATAGTACAAAATGAAGCAATCGTAGTCAACGTGTTAATCACATGACCGGGCTGACGTTGTATGGAGTACGCAGAGTATAAACAGGCACATATTAGTAAATAGTATAAGATGCAAATGATGCCTGGAGTGTAAAATTTCACACGACAGTGTTCCACCTCTGAACCACTGTTTCCGGGATTACTTTGCGGTGATAAAGCAAAGACCCGGACGTGATATGAAAATATCAATACCAGATAAAGCACACTAGTATCCAGTCTAGAATTGCTTCTAATTTAACCATACTAAACACAAGTAGAGAAGCAGATAAATATTTGTTGCGAATTAAGTGTCATCCTGATATTAATTGAGCACTAGCATGGATTATTCAATTGAAAATTAGGCAATATGTGTTCTTTCAAATTTAAAATTCTGTTCACCATTAGGTGTAGTTTCATGGTATAACTAACCTTCAACAAGAAGGTCAAGTTCATGGAAGTGAAGGGCACGGGTTGCTCGTTCAGGTGGATGAACTTCAGATGCTTCTCAAAGAACAGGCCACTGAGCAGGAGGTGCGGGAAAAGAAGCGAATTTAGACATAACAACTTTCAGTATTTCCCCAAAAACTGACCCGGTCGCATCAGTAGCATCACACATGGAATAGATCAGTCTCAATAAAATTGTTGCATGCTTCAGCATATCATACAAAACCGAGTCAGCAGAGCCCACTTGGGAGAGCTGAAATAATAATAAGATGAACATTTCAATCTTGATCATTCAATTAGCAACCAAATGATATATTAAAAGCGTCAATGATGATTTGAAAGAAAAGTTGTTCGGAGTTTGAAAACAATATGATGACACTAAAATAAATAATGAATGACTAACTTGGAGACACCCTTCTTGCCAAAGGTTTTAGTCCGAGAGATCTCGGGTCTGATGCAGGCTCTGTCCTTGCGCTGCTCTGGTGCTCTCATCCAGTCGTCCCAGTAAGACTTGGGCCATTTAGGAGACAACTCCTCCCACAGGCTTCTGGTCAACATCCACCCAAGACCAGGGAAAAAGTCCGTGCGGTACAAAAGATGAGCCCCATTGTTGATATCCACAAGAGATCCTTTGCCTGGCACAACATTTTATTGGTAATTTTACCTAATTATTCACTTCCAAGTAACAAACTTGTTATAAAAAGCAACGTTTGCCTGCTCTGTTAATTGTTTACTCACATTAAATTAAATTTATGAGTAACTTCATTGCATTCGACTTTTTCCTACAAGCTCCTCTTCCATCAGATGGGATATTCCTCAATGAAGCGTGAAGCCACAGTACATGTCTCACATTTTACCACACTTAATAAAGAGACACTGGTACTAGTAACAAGATAGAACGAACCGTTATCATTCCAGGCAGAGACACACCAGAGGGTTGGATCAGTGCGAAGTAAAGAGTGTGTAGCTGAGAAGTAATTGAAGAAGTCAGGTGAGATGTCAAGATCATCTGCAAGTAATTGAAATGTTACAAAGGTTGCAAATTTATAAAAACCACCTCGATATAAAGCTTTCAAGTAAATTTCGATGAACTATAGTGCAGGAATGCACCAGACATTACATGATTTGAAGCTTCAAAGACATTTATCTGAAAACTTCATTCAAGTAGATCGAGCAATAAATAATAAAAAACAGGGGGTAATGAAGTTTACCTTCAACAATGATGACAGTCTGATGACCAGCCTCAAGAAAAATGTGGTCCAATGCCCATTTATAGTGTCGAGCAATGTAGAAGTATCCTTTGAACTTCTTTTCTTTTACTGGCACATCAATTACTGACAAGTCTGGTTGCTGTAAACAAAAAATAATATAAGGTCATTCCATATTGGGCTTTCAGCAATGATGTGGATGCTTTTGGTTGAATTTATAAACACATTATCACAAAGTAGGTATACATATCAACCTTATAGGATCAACTTCATACCATTTCTTTAGTTCAGCAAAAATCTGAAATTCTGTACACTGTAGAGAAAAAAAATTCCCAAAAATATTCAACTTATTTTACTATGAATTTCACTTTCATTACCTCAATTAGGGAGACTTCATTACCATATGATAAAATTATTTGCTTGGTTGGTTGGTGGCCACAGTCCTGTGACACAATAATAGGGAAACGAGATTGACTTGGGCGATATTTCAGGAGAAGATCTAAGGAGCGACGGATTGCAGCCTCCCTGTTGCAAGCTATCACCAGCACTGGTATTGTGGTCTGTAGGGAGATGGCTAAAGGTAACCTAGAGATAAAAACTACTTAGAAAACGAGAAATCTCAAGCTTTAGCATCAACAAACCATTGATACATAAAACTATTCTAAATGATCATTTATGACTACAGTATTGATACAGACACAAGTGTGATAAGAAATCTATCATAATATGAATAGCAGGACCAAATAATTATTGATGAAATACATAACTCCAGCTAGGCAAACTAACATTGAAACAAAAGGATAATTAGAGGATTGTTCAAGCTTTCCTTGAAGCACCTAAAATACCTCTTCCTGTTCCTGTTGAGTAGCTGAAATTTGATAGAGCTTCTGCAGAACTTGCTGGTAGAATTTTGATTGCTGTGCCACCTCTGCTTCAAGGCGTTTCAGCTGACTATCAACTTGGAGTGCTGTCTGGGGGAAAAAAATTCCATGGTCAGCAGAGTAGATTTTTTATGTATGAAAACAGGTAATTTATTTTTTTTTTATTTCTTAATCATTATTATTTCTTTCTTTTTGGTTAGTTTGTTGATATTTATTATTTACTGGTTTGTTAATTCTAAATTATTACTTTTTTATTTTTTATTATTATTTTTTATTCATTTAGTAATTTCACACTGCAGTGCTCAATTTTTGTATTGTTTATATATCAATTAAATATCTTAAGAAGCATAGGCCTTTAATGATCATTACCTTTTGGAGTTCTGGACTGTCAGCTGATGATTGGATTAACATAGCAGGCTGCTTTGACAACATGACAATGATGAAAACCACCCATAATATCACTACAAAATTGATGCACCAAAATTGGCGTCTCATCATGCAGTGATTTCTGACGGCTTTTAAACAAATCCACCATCCCAGTGCAATTCATTTAAAATGAAATACCCAAGTTTTTTATAAATTAATATTTTGTAAATATAATTTCAATGAGTGTAGCTGTGACTTGAGATGTGTTGAAACAGATTTGGCCATAAGGAATATAAACATCCAGCAGCCAACACTGCTGTTTCAATCTGAAATATTTTGCCCAACTGGCTCAGCAGCTAGGTATTATGGACACACTATCATAAATCCTGAAAGTGAACTGTGTAAATGCATTATTGAAAAAATTAAAAAGTTGAATACAAATTCAAAGCATTTCATAATAATGACAAATGGTATAATTTTTTATAGACCATTCACCATTCCTCTAATTCCTATATATATATAAACCACTAAATATCCTCAATATTAGTATGAACATAACATGCATGAGTAAGATAAAGTTACTGAATGAAATCTAGGAGTTGATTAGAAAATTAGAATGAACTGGTTTTTGAAAAGGCTGTTGCCATTTGCCACGATGTTTGTGTCTAAAAATGGGAAATCCAAAAACCAGAATCAAAGGCTTTTGCACGTTTTGTGTCCAATTCACTTGTGGCTTCTGCAAAATTTTCCACTTTGGCTGCTGATGGTGATGCATAGGGACAAACCACATAATGACAGATATTTCCACTGTTGCGACTAGATGGATGCAGAGTAATATTACTGTGGTCAAATCACCTAACCATGGGTTGAGGACAATGGGTAAGCAAAAGTTAATCTTCTTTTAATCATATATTTTTCCCCTTTCCTAAGGTGGAATCCTGCATCCTGAATTACGGCCAGAACCAAACTTTGAAAATATATTGCTAAAAATGCAAAAAAGTATCCAAAAGCCTTCTTTTTGTGTGCTAGTTTGAAGTGTAAGACAAATGACAGTACTGTCAAATGGGGTTAATAAGGGACGGGCGGGGTAATAAGAGACAGTCCTCCAACATTTCGTAGAAATGTTGCAGCAGCTAAACTAATCAAAATATTGCAAAACTAAAAATAGTGATGTAAAGTTCACCATTTTTTATCTATGTAGCATAAAGTAAGTTAAGAAATTATACATTTATTACCTCTAAAAAATCCCAATAAATGTGTGAAAAGTGAGATTTTGGAAAAGTACCTCTGCTAAGATCTGTAGCAAAAATAAAATACTTAAAAAAAACTTTAAAAAAAAAACACGTTTTTCTTGTGGACTAAAAAGTAGCAAATAAATTATGGCTTGCCCCAAAAAACGTGTGTCGGGCAGATTTATGATTAAAGCGAAAAGCACACAACACACGAATTTTGGAAATTTGATGGTGAACGATGATTGTATCTGAAATTGTTAGGCGAAAATAGCCTGCATGCCGAATTTCAGATCTCTAGAGCAATCAGAAGTGGGCTAATTTTCGTTGTCAATTTTAACAACAAACAAACAAACAAACAAACAAACGCGAAGCTAAGCTAAGAAAAACGTTTTAAAAATCATTTCTTGTATCAAGAAATTTTACTTACATAAAAGTTGCACATTAGTGTGGGCTTAAAAACAAGTGATTGACTGAATTTGTGTACCTCATTCTAAAAAAAAGGTGGCCATTTCCACAAGATGGGGTAATAGTCTGACAAGTGTTGTTTGTAAGGTAAGGGAATCTGTTGTGATGGATAGGATTATTGATCACTTGACTGTGCACCATCTCCTCTCCTATCAGATTGTCAACATGGTTTTATTGCCGGTTGCACCATTAACTTATTGTCTATGTTGAACGATTGGACTCGCCTTCTGGACAAAAGGGAGCCAGTGAATGCATTGTACCTCAATTTTTCCAAAGCATTTGACAGTGTTCCGCATGAGTGGCTGTTACGTAAAGTGAAGTCTTTGGGAATTGAGGGAAACGTACTATAATGGATAAGAGACTTTCTAGTAGTAGACAATAGAGAGTCAGCATTAATGGAACCGTGTCAGACTGGGCATCAGTGCACAGTGGCGTGCTACAAGGAAGCGTTCTTGGGCCTATTTTGTTAGTTGCTTTCATAAATGATCTGCCAGGAGTAGGTGGTGTCCAGTTTGTGCTTCATGTATGCCAACGACACAAAAAGCACAGTGAACTGACTGAAAGATGCATCAAATAAAGTGCAATTGCAAGATGATCTTGACAGTTTAGTTAAGTGGGCTGATATGTGGCAGCTGCATTTTGATGCTGACAAGTGTAAAGTACTTCACCTCGGGAAGAACAATGAGCAGCAAGCATATAGTATGAGGAGACATGGTTACAACAAGAGAGTAATGATTGAAAAGTCTAGTGTGGAAAAAGATCTTGGAGTTTATGTTGACACAGAGCTGAAATTTTCTAAGCATGTCTAAACAAAAGCTAATACATCCCAGGCTGTAAAGTAGGGCCTTTCAGCTCGAGATATTGACATCTTTTCAAGCTCTCCATCAGCCACCTTGACCTTAATTGGCATCCATGGTTGATCATGATCTATGGCTTGGGCATCTGTGACCAATCATAAACTATGGATTGATCAGCAATCTATTATTTATTCTAATGTGATCTATTGCGTTCTAGCGCAATCTATTGCATTCTAGCGCAATCTATTGCATTCTAATGCGATATATTGCGTTCTAATGCGTTGTAACACGATCTAATGCACTGTAACGCGATTTATTGTGTTGTAAGGCAATGTAACGCAATCTACTGCATTCTAGCGCAATTTATTACATTCCAACATAATCTATTGCATTCTATTGCGATCTATTGCGTTCTAACAAAATAAAGCGCAATCTATTGTGTTCAAATGCCATGTAACGTGATCTATTGATATGTAACGCGATGTATTGCAATGTAACGCAATCTATTGCATTCTAACACAATGTAACACAATCAATTGCGTTCTAACACAATGTATTGCATTCTAACGCAATTTCTCACATTCTAACATGATCTATCACGTTCTAACACGATCCATCACATTTTAACACGATCTATAATGTTCTAATGTGATCTATCATTTTCTAACGCTATCTATCACGTTCTAACACAATGTAACTTGATCTATTGCATTCTAACGCGATTCTATTGCATTCTAATGCAATCTACTGTGTTCCAATGTAATCTATTGCATTCTAAAGCGATCTATTGCATTCTTAAGAAATATAATGTAACCTATTGCAATCTAATGTAACCTCAGTAACCTGAAGCAATCTAATGAAACCTAATGCAATCTAATCTGTTCTAATTCAATCTAATGCATTCTAATGTGACCTAATGGAATCTAGTGCATTCTAATGCATTGTAATGAAATCTAGTGCCATCAATAAAAACTTGATGCAATCTAATACTTTCTAATTCAGTCTATTCAATTTACTCTGATTCAGTCTATTCAATTTACTCTCTGATTCAGTCTATTAAATTTACTCTCTGATTCAGTCTATTCAATTTACTCTCTGATTCAGTCTATTAAATTTACTCTCTGATTCAGTCTATTAAATTTACTCTCTGATTCAGTCTATTAAATTTACTCTCTGATTCAGTCTATTAAATTTACTCTCTGATTCAGTCTATTAAATTTACTCTCTGATTCAGTCTATTNAGCTAATTACTTTATGAAGTTTAGTTCTTTGCTGTCATATTAAGAGACAAATCTTTAACAAACTAGTACTTTTTATAATTTTAATTGTTGAGTGAAAGCTGCAGACACACAACATTTCAAGTGATTACTTAATACTTTATAGAAACTTTGCATACCTTTACCTATATGTGTTTAAGCCTATAAGAAGTTCGTTTTTTGACTCAAATAATGTTGTATCGAAAAACTGGTCAAGGTGTATCGAGAATAATATATGAACTGTAAATTTTAGAATTCCATTCTGACTGTCATGGAATTTTATTTTTAATTTTCCAGGCCTAGAAAGTCATGGGATTTCATTTCAGGTCATGGAATTTTTATTGGAAAGTCATGGAACAAAAGGTGTTTTGATTTCTCTCAATAAGGTTAAGGGGAGCGTCTACCCTAAAATTGAAAATTTTCACTTTTTCGGTTTTTATACTCATTTTAAAGCTGACATTCTGCCCTATCCAACGGTACCACTGCCATATCCTGTCTCTTATACACATCTAGATGTGTATAAGAGACAGGGGGGCGGGTGGGGGAGTTCTTTAAGTAATTAGATAGGAACTAATTAGCTGCTGNATTTGACACACTTTTACCTGTCCGTGTCCAATTGATCTGAAATTTTGCACACTTGTGTCAGTTGTGTGAAGTCGGAGGCTGCGAGGCAATGCATAAATCAATTGACAGAATAAATAATTAAAAAAATGTATATTAAAAATATTTAAAAAATTATTTTTTTAATATTCAAAAATACCTAACACGAGAAAATTCATTGTAGAAACTGGATTCATTAGACACTGTCTCTTATACACATCTAGATGTGTATAAGAGACCAGGTATGTACTCCTTGGTACTTGGTAGGAACCTGAGATAGCCATGGTGCCAAAAGTCTTCACTCTTCATCAAGAAGGAATGGAAGGTAATCAACAAGCTTAGTGACAAAGCAGAGAGTTTTTTAGACTCTCTCTCAAGTTCATTTTTTAGTCCTATATGTAGAATGTATCCTGGATACTAGCATTATCATACATAAGAAAGTGGTTTAAATCTTGAGTAAATGAGGAAATTAAATTGAACTGATTCTAAAAAATCTGGTTTGTCACTATGCCAACATGACATGTTTGAAGAACAGTCTTCAAACCACCGAGTGCAAATTTAGTCACATACAGCGTCAGAATTTAGGGATTTTGTAGATTTGAATTCTAAAGGCTTTTAAATAAATATGGCAACAGTTTGTAACGTTTCATCATTGCTGGCGCGTAGTGTGGCATTTTGAGAGTGACATAGAGCAATCAGAACTCTAGTTGCGCATACAGTGATCTTTTTATAGCCATTCATTTCTTGGTACGTCCTTAATGTGTTGGAACATGGTGTGTTTACGGTTTACCCTACCTATACAGAATTCCACACTACAAGCCTCCAAGTATGAATATTGAATGTGTTCAAGAACAGACTACCTAGATAAAGCTATGGACAAATCACAAATATATGTTCAGGCTTGAAATGCCTAGCACCATATCAAACCCAGTGGAACTTTGGAACTTCCAAATTGGAAGCCTAGTAGCTATTTCAAACTATCGTCAGTCTTGGAAAGATCTGGTCAAATGATACAATTTTAGATCTTCTGTGAACAAGTCACAAAAAGTTCAAGAATCAGTGACACATGACA